AGATTCCAAAAATGACTGCTCGCATTACTGTTGGCACTTTGACCCTATGAAGAAATTTATAACATGGTTCCAATCTCCTTTCATTCTTTTGTCTCAAAACAAAAATACTGGAGTTGTCTTGGGAGGTTTTGAGTCTGCAATGCCAAAGTGAATGGTTCCTTGTGAAAACTGTGGTCCTAATAGTTAAATATAAGGAAAAAAAATTGGTTTGTGGAAGGAAGCTGACACATGCTTAACCTTTTAGAAATGAGGTTTATCATCAGTAGGCAGAGACAGGTAGACCTCTGAGTTTGAGTGAGTTCTAGGACAGCCAGGACTACACAGAGAAACCCTATTTTGAAAATGGAAGGGGAAAAAAAACAACAACAGGGAGGTTTATTGGGAGAAAGGGCCTCGAGGTCATGATCTTCCTTAAGGAGGGAGAGAGAGCCTTAGAAGAAAGGTTATAGTGTATTAAAAACTACATACTGGGCCTTAAACGGAGAGAAACTTCCCTTTAAAACCTTCAGGATGAGAAGAGAGGGAGAAAGGAAGCCAGCATGAGAAGGGTTGAAGGGAAGGCCAAAGAAGTATCTTTAGAGAACCACCCCACCCCCAAAGAAAAGGGTTACCTTCTTTACATTATTTCACACCAGGTGATTTAGATCAACATAGCATGTGACAAAGGGCACAGAAAGCCAAGTACTGGTTAGACCATAACTTAGTTACTACCACACAACTTATCTCCCTGGGAAAGAGCCACAGAGGGGGACTTTGGCTGTGGTTGTGCGTGCTCACTATCTTAAAAGAGCAGATTTGTGTACCAGTACTTATATTGTATAGGTGGGTAAGTATATGAAGTCCGTTACTTGAAGGAAGATTCTGTAGCTAGTTCATCTCAGGCACATTGGGAAAATTACATATTCAAATGCAAACATTCCCAGTTACTTTCTTGCCTCGATTTCTGGAGTCTCCATTCTTTCATTATCTTGAAGTCTTCTTATAGTGAGCCACTTCATATATTTTAAGGAAAATGGTGTAAAATGTTGTATTTTTGTACATTCATTTAATCAATATGAACATTTTAGACAAGCAATCAAGACTTGAAAGCAGAAAGGTTGTTGTCTCATTTGCAAGAATTGTGTTATGTGTTCAAGAAAATTTGGAGAAGTCAGGTGTGGTGGCACACACCTTTAATCCCAGTGCTTGAGAGGCAGAGGCAGGTGGATCTCTGAGCTTGAAGCCAGCTTGGTCTACAAAGTGAGTTCTAGGATATCCTGAGCTGTTACACAGAGAAACCCTGTCTTAAAACAAAACCAAAGAAGATACAAAGAAAGTCCAACAAGAAATATTTTCAGTAAGGAGAAAAGTGGTACTATGAAAGAAACTACAGAAATGCAGGTGTTTTGTTCTTTTTTTTTGCTTTGGGTTAAATGACCAGTTAGTCCAGGCTGAATGCTTGGTTTCAATACAAAATTGCCAAAAAAAAATTGGCAAAGCTTGTGTCTCCCAGTAAGTGGAGAGGTATGTCTTTTGTGAACATGGTTGCTATCTGTGACAACTGAGGGTGCCAAAAGGAAAAAAAAATGAATGAAAAGGGAATGGGCACAAAGTTACCTACTCATCTGTTAGGTACTGCAATGGGAAAAGGATGAGCCACAGAATCTAAACAGTATTGGATATAAATTTGGAATATGGAGCTGGAGAGATGGCTCAGTGGGTTAAGAGCACTTCTGGCCTCTAAAGGTACTGTACTCGGGCGCACACACACACATACATATTTTATAAATAAATCTTTAAAATGGAAGTGTTTGGTGGGTGATGCCTACTTACATTCATGTCACATTGATTTAACCTACACAGTTAACATACGTTCTTTATACATATTCTCTTCTAAAATACTATTTTCTTTATGCAAAATTGTATATGAACACAAAAGTTTTATTTTAAAACCTGGTTAACAAAATTACCTAAGTGAGAACTGTCAAAAATGCTGCAAGAATTCAAGAGTTGCATAGCAATCTCCAAACAGCTATTTCTACTTTGTCATTGAGCTCTCTAGAGACAAATGTGAGATCCAAGAGTCAGAAGAGGCTCCGTAAGCCCTGGACCATGCTTGACACTCAAGACACACAACACCCCTGTGGCACTGTTGCAATTCCCTGCTTGTAGCAAACACTCAGACTCACTTATTTAAGCAGGGTCTGGAAACATGGGCATTAGTAGAAATCTAAATGGTGAAGAGAGCACATTATATGCTAAGTTTAAAAAAAAAAAAAAAACTAGGTGGGTGGTGGTGTCAAATGCCTTTAATCTCAGTACTCAGGAGGCAGAGGTAGATGTACCTCTGTGAGTTCCAGGACAGCCAGGACTGTTACACTGAGAGAAAGGGCTGTAGAGAGATGGTCCAGCAGTTAAGAGCACTGGCTGCTTTTCCAGAAGACCTGGGTTCAATTCCCAGCACTCACATGGCAACTCATAGTTTCAGGTGATATGATACCTTCATACTTACACGCATGGAGGCAAAACACAAAGCACATGAAATGAAAATATTTTTTTAAAAAAGAAGCCAGCGTCAGATAGTCAGATATTAGGGAAAAGCTGAAAGATCAGAGAAGCAAAGCAGCCAGTCAGCTCTTACCTCTCAGACCAAATGGATGATCCTGTCTCCATGAATGCTCATACTGACTGCCTAGACTGCCAGGAACTCCTGTCCCCTCCCACCCACCTTATATTCCTCTCTCCACCCAGCCATATTATGCCTTCCTGTCTCCACTTCTTTAGTGTTGGGATTAAAGGCGTGTCACTCCAAGTGCTGGGATCACCTTTATGTGAGCTCTGTTTCTCTTCTAGACTGGATAAATTTCATTTAGCCAGGGTAGCCTTGAACAGATCTGTCTGCTTCTGTCTCCCGAGTGCTGGAATTAAAGTGTGTGCCACCACTGCCTGCCTCTATGGCTAACTAGTGTGACTAGCTTTGCACTCTGATCTTCGGGTAAGCCTTATTTGTTAGATCACATACAAATATCACCACAGTCTACAGAATAAGTTCAGGGACACCCGGGATACACAGAGAAACTCTGTCTCCAAAACAACCCCCCCCCAAAAGAAAGCAACTGGAAATGTTTCAGATGTGTTCAAGGAAACAATAAAATTTGGTCTGACAAAAGATTGTGATCGTGAATGCATTTTTTTAAAGTACAGTGGACAGACTGGTTCTATTTTAGACAGTGCAAGAAATGGACAGATTTTAGGCAATCTTAATTTTCTAGAAAGTGAATAGCAAAGACATAGTTCAAAGATTGGAAAACAGGATGGATAAGAAGAGGGAAAGGGCTTAATATTCAAGAGACTTCCTTTTCTTGCATGTGTGTGTGTGTGTGTGTGTGTGTGTGGGTGTGTGTGTGTGT